TTTACGTAATTGGAAGTAACCAATTAGGTTTACGACGAAACCTAAAAATCGATCACTGCAAAATTCAAAACTGAAAAATCACAAAACGAAATTCAGAAAAAATAAAATACCTTGCAGCCAAGGGAGCAGAACCTGAACGAGTCGAGCAGGCTTCGATCGCAGACCTCGCACGTGTTCGTCACGCCTTTCCCGGGCCTCGGCTGAGGCCGCTCGTTGAGGAACACGACCTTAGCACTATTGATGATGTAAGTTTGGACAGAGCTTATGTCTAAATACTTTTGAATTTCGGACACTCTTATAACATCATGGTACGAAGACCTCCTTATCTAAATCCATCCAAGAACAAAGATCAATAATGTATTCGAGCAAAAATTCGAGAATAAATCGAATGTATACATCATAAAATAAACCTGAATCGCACGGTGATCCTTGTGATGAGCCAAGCAGAGAGAGCAGAGAGGGCCGTTGGTACAGTCCAAGCAGTACATATTACACTCGCTCTTGTGTGAATCAGCGTGGAGTTTGCAATGGACAAAGAACTGTTCATTGAGCAGAGGCTTCAGCCATGGCGGCCACCGGCTGTCCTCCTCGTCCGGCCCCTTTCCGACCAAAAAAAAAACAGAGTGTGTTTACTATTTACGAAATTTCAATTAATTGATCGATCAATTAATCAGCTCCAATTCGGACATAAAAGTAGAATAAAACGAGAATGATAAAAATGGTTTACCATAATCCTTCTGTTCTTGGGCTTGATTTCGCGAACGCCGGAGTCCTGATTGTTGATCGCCATCTCTGATGAGTGACTGAGTGATGGAAGAAAGTGTTTGAGGGCAGGGCAGTGTGTGTTTTTGTGCGTGGAGAACAAGTGGAGGCGGAGAGAGAGAGAGAGAGAGAGAAAATGGCCAAATGGGTTTCTTGATGGTGGCGGGGTTTCGATCTTATCCTTTAAAAGTCGCACACATATGTATAACATATAAATATAGGGAAATGCTACGTTATCGTTACACGGAACTATTTTGTCGAAATTTGTAATCGATCTAATCCTTTAAAAGTCGCACACATATGTATAAAATATACATATAGGAAAATGTTACAGTCTGATTACGAAACCATTTCGTCAAGATTTGTAATCGTTAGATCATTAGATAATCATCGTGGACAATTAATTTAACAGTTACAAACCCACCGTAGAATCTCCCATGTCCATATAAATATATATATATACATTTATATATATATAAGATCCGAGCCTAGCTCCGAGCCTATCTTTTAGCCGGAGCTGAAGATACGTCGGGTGCAAGGAACTCGCCTTCTTTTTTCCTTACCTTCCTTTTCTCATCCGTTTATTTTATTTTGTTTTTTGGTTTTCGTCAAAGTGTTTTTTAATGGAGTTTTATTAGTTAGGATTAGGAGGGTTATCAAAGATAAAATACATCAATTAACGAGATATGGGTGTAGTCATTTACTCATTTTCTTCTTCTTCTTCTTCTTTTTTTTTTT